TTTATAAGAAATCTTTACAAGAAACTAATTCTATTGATCTACTTTTAAATCTATTTTAATCTATTACTCTTTTAATAGATTAAGTAGACTTACTTAAAAGTAGATAAATAGAATTCTTTGTATGTCACATCCTTAACATATTAAGTTGACTTTTACTTACATGAAATTTAATTTAATTTTTCCTTCAGTGACCCTTAATGGAATAAAAGTTATCCAATTTTGATTTACTCCTTGAATAAACTCCAGAAACTAAATTTAAAATGTCATTTCCTATAGTGAAAGTCTATGAATTTTGACCATTTAGCATCTCCTTTTCCTTAGGGAGCCATCTTATTCTGGTGACACTAACAAAACACACAAAATCTCACTCTGCAACACATCACCCTACTCCAGGGCCTACTTCACAGGAGATCCTGTGGGGCTCTGACCCGGCACATCATAAAACCATGATGAATTGAGTTTTCTTGGCGAAATGTGAGCCATACCAAGAGTATCAAAATTATTCCTTCTTAAATAATGAAAGCCTATCTGCCATGGGAAGGAAATAGGCCAAAACGGAGAAGGAAGCTTATCCCGAGGCTTAACATACAGAAACACAGTCTATGGCCCGCTGAAATAATGTAACTTTTCAGAGTCAATATATAGAGCCAAATCCTGCTTAGTTTTCATACAGTCACAAAACTTCATACCTTAAAAATCATCTTGTTCAATTTTATCATTTTACAAATAATGAAACTAAGTCAGAAATGATGAAACTAAGAACAGACATGATCTCTACAAGGTATGTCACATATAGCAATGTTGGAATTAGAATCCAGGTTGTCTGACTGCCAAAGAAATGTTCTTTGATATTCATTAAAAACTAGATTAAAAGGAGCTATCACTTTTTCTTTGCTTTTAGTAGTCAAAAAGCACCCATTGAGTCTTTAAGTAAAGAAAAATGTTCAGATTTAATTCAGCATTTCCAAAAGTTCTTTGATCTGGCATATTTTTCCACCAAATAATTCATAAATATAGTAAAAATTAGCATTTGTGGAATATATTTTGGAGATCACTAATCAATTCCTATCAAGTAAATAACAATGTTCATATCTGTAGTTACTAGAATCTCTCTCTCTCTCTCTGGGTACCAAAAAAGGTATACATATTTTCAGCAATGTTATCTATGTATTACCTTTAGTTCACTGTAATCCAAGTTGTTGGATGCTGACGATAACCACTTTGAGCACCTCTTGCAATCGCAGAAGTTAAATTTGATTTGTACTCTTCTTTTGTGGTCAGTGTATACTGAATATTACAATTTCAATACAGTTTTTGCTTTCTTAAAATGTGTATACCTTTTTTGTCTCTCTCTCTCTCTCTCTCTCTCTCTCTCTCTCTCTCTCAGAAATAAATAAATACAATACAACAATCACATGACAAGACTAGATTAAACTTCATTATTTTCTGTATTCATAGAAGGGAATACTAAGGCTCAGAAATGTAAACTGAATTCCTAAAGGTCACAGAGCCAGGGTTAACTTCCAGTTTCAAGATCCCATGTTATAGTAATGTAATATTATATCTTTCGAACAGATTTCTTCAAGGATATCTTAGCCTATTTGTAACACTGAACACCCTAACACTAAATATTATAGCAAAGTATTGGTAGGAGTCTTAAAGTACAATCAGTTCCTGGCTATCAGAATAATTCTGTAAATGTTTTTCAAAGGTAAGATAACTTTAGAAAGTGACAAAAATTACAAAATTTTTAAAAGATCAGTACATTCAAAGTAATTATCATAACTGGTTAGAAATGAAAAGCAAAAATCACAACAGACAATGCAATGAGAAAAAAGAACTAAATTTTAATCCATCAAAACAGTTAATATACTGAAAATAATATACCTGAAATATGGTATCTATGGGATAGATGTTATCTAGTTATAGTATGTAGAACATATTTTTATACTTTAATGTATAAAAATGTATTCAGTTTTGCCACTAATCTTAGTTGTGAAGTCAACATAAATTTAGCTTTGGTAGGTTATCTATCACTTGGGAGTTAACAACTTGGTAGTTTACAACTAAGAAGAAAGCAGGAAACCTTACTATCTTTAAAAATAATTTAGATTTTCTAAATATGATTCATATAAAATGAAACAACATAAAATTCTACATTTAGACTGCCATACTGTGAAACAAACGTCATCCTACAGCTGTAACAACAAAAATATGCATTTTATTTACATGTTATTTGAACTCTAATTTTGATGAAACATATTAAATCACATGTTCTTTGCCTTATTTATTTAAAAATAATTTTATCTAATGACCATTTTCTGCTAAGACATGTAGAAACACTATAAACACTGTAGAAGTTAATTTATACCACTTGCTTAAATCTGCTCTCAAGGACCTAAGTTTCTATATTAAAAAAGGATCAAAATTAAACAGAATATCATCATTTGGCAACCATCACAGTAATAATTAATTCAGCCAAGACACATCAACAGATGCTAAAACTAGAGAGGAAAAGTTTAATGAAGAACAATATGCTCACAGAGTCTCAAAGAACCTCCTTCAAATCAAAACATAAATAATAATTGTATTACTTATAAATACAAATTAAAATGTTCATTAACTTCAAAGGTAAAAAGAATAATTTTATAATGGAGAGACCTAGCAGACAGATCCTTAATAATGAGATAAGGACATGAGATATCACCAATATGGGACAAATCCAAAACAAGTTCCACTTGAGAGGATGCAAAAAGAATGTATCAATCCTTTGGGGATATTCCTGACAAAAATATGAAGCCTAAATCTAATCATGAAGAAACATGAAACAAAACCACATTAAGGCACATTTTGTAAAATAACTGACCTATAATCTTATAATTTATCAGATATGAAAGCAAAAAATGGCTCAGGAGCTATTCCAGTTTCTTGGAGACTGAAGAAACGTGACAACCAAATCTAATACACATACAGACTCTTCTGATAAAAGGTAAAACTTGGTGATATATGAAAATGTCCTCATTTGTACAAAAATAATAGACAATGGAATATTTGGGAGTGATCAGGTACCATGTGTCAAAAGAAAAAAATACCTTTTGTACTATACTCACCAAAAAAAGAGAAAAAACAATAAAATTCAAGTTGCAAAACCAATATTATATATTTCTATCATGTTTAATACTGGTTTCATTTTCTTCTAGATTCAAAATGAAGGGTTTTTAAACTAGCCACGCCCTATAGTTATTTTTTGGTTTTCTGGATTCGTAGGTTCCAGTGGGGTTGGGAGATCCTAAGATTTATGGGAATTTTTAGGAGTGTCATTAAGATCAGGAACATAGGCTCTAATAGAATGCAAATATACTAAGAAAAACTGAAACCTACCATAATAATAAATGTCTTTTAGATGCACTCATAAATAGACTTGTAGTAAATTTTTTAAAGGTGCTTTTCCAGAAGATGACTGCTATCATAAAGCAATGGTATTTTACAATATGTGGTTTCAAGAATTGTTATTCTTCTCAGAAAACAAGTCTGAAAACCTACATTGCTACAGCTAGACAAAACTAGTTATTAATTTTATTGTTTCTTTAAATTCCATACTGGCAATAATTCAAAATGTATCAATATTTTAATAAGTAGGTATTCATATTTTAAAGCAAGCAATGAAATATTAGCAGTAGCTACAAGTACACTTTTCAATATGCTATCGATTTATAGAACAGTTCCTTTAATATGATTTCCCTAAATTTGTAAGGAAGAATTCTCTTGAGGTAGAGGTGAGAATGCTGACTAATTAAAAAATACAAATTACTGTAGTTCCAGTCACTTGGAAGGCTGAAGTGGAAGGATCGCGTGAGACCAGCAGGTCAAGGCTGTGGTGGCCATGAGCAGCATGCCACTGCACTCCAGCCTGGGCAACAGAGTGAGACTCCGACTCAAAAAAACAAAAAAACCAATTAAAAAACAAAAGAAGACCTTACTAATGCGCAATGAACACACTAATAAAAATTTCTTACAAGTTTTGTAAATTCTACTTATGCAGAAAATAGTTATCATAGCAGGTCTGAGACTGCTATCATTGAAAAGATAAAGCTTGCAAAGTTAGACCTTGGTTGGTGTCTGGGAAGGTTGGCTTTCGAGAAAACGCCCACCATTCCCTGAGAAAGGTGTCTCACTGTACCTACATTGTACAAAGAACATGGTTTATGCAGACCCTCTGCTCTCCTCCTGAGAGTCTGGATTTCTGGTACATGCTAAAGCAAGAAGGTGCCTGTATGACTGACTCCAATAAAACCCTGGACTCCGAGGCCCGAGTGAGTGCCTCTGGTAGACAATAATTCACATATGTGATAACAACTCATTGCTAGCAGAACTAAGCATGTCCTGTATGAATCCATGGGGAAAGAACTCTTGGAAGCTTGAGCTTAGTTTCCTAGACTTCACTTCATTTGTCTTTTCCTTTTGCAGAGTTTGCTCTGCATCTTTTTGCTGTAAGAAATTATCAAAGTGGATATGACTATAAGCTGGGATCTTTCTTCCTAGTGAATCATAAAACCTGAGGTGTTCTTGGGGACTCCTGACACAATAATTTAATATATAAAGTTACCTTCTGTGAGTACCAAATGCTTCAAGTACATATATACATACATTAACAACCTGCACTGAATAGATTTAAGATAACAAAAGAGTAAAGTAAGTTCTATATCATTCATAAAATTACTTGCTTTTTGAACTTCTGAAGAAACGACATTCAGACAATAACAGAACTCATTTCCTCAAAGTTCAAATTTGTAATTTTAACCATAAATATGCTTTAAATGTTATTTTTTTTAACCTGGTTGTTAGATATTATTTTTATTAAGTATAAATATGTTTAATTCCCTCAAAATGAAAGAAAATCCATTTTTATCCTCAAAATCAAACAAATCCAAATGCAAACTCAAATAAATCAGTTCTGTCCATCACAATTTAGATGGTATTTAAAAATCATGCATTCTTACCATGTGGAGTGATTGTCTGTACAGGCTTAGCAGGGGACCTCACATTCCATATAGTCAAGGTGCCATCTGAATGACTGCAAATAAATTGTTTTCCTTCATGATGCCAAGCTACAGAGTGAATAGCCTGAAGAAGAAGGGTGAAGAAGTTCATTTTTCAAATTTATTTAAATAGAAAATTCTCCATAAATGGTTTAGTAATTCATTTTAATTTTAATTTTTTTTATATTTTCTAAAGTCATTATGTGATTTGACATTCCTATAATAATTTAGTCCTTTTGATTTTATTTCATATTGACACTGCGTTAATTCTATTTACTTACTTTACTCCTTAGGCCGGCATAAAGAAGATATGATAGTGACATATATCTATTGACAAGTTCAGTAAAACAAAATGTATTCTAACAGTTTTTTAGAATAAACTATACCTAAACATAAATTACCAAGTTATTACAACCAATATCTCATTGGAGTAACTAGTTATGGTGAAAGATTAAAACAAATTTTTAAGATTAACTACAATCCTAAAAGGCAAAATGGAGATTTGGAATTTAGATCAATAAAAACGCCTCAGGGCGTGCATTAAGACATGTTCCCTATCTCTCACATTAATCACTGAGGCAATTTTTAATCTGAGGGGACCCTATTTTGACAATAAACTTAAAGAAAAAAATATCTGGAAAATATTTTTATATAACTAAAGCATGTTACCCCTCTTTTTTTGCTGTTGTTCTAACATTATTAATTTGGGGGGGTCCAAAAAAATTTAAAAAATAAAAAACACAATCTCCCAGGTCTTCTTTGAATTATTTCTTTTCCTCAAGTTGACACATTTTTAATTCTTAATGGTCAATTGATTTTAAAGGTGTCCTAATGGAATAGCAGAAATGCAGAGCACAGCACAAAAACCATGTAACTGAAAGTCAAGAGTTCTGTTACAAAATCAACATTTTCTATCATATTCTTCATTTACTTGGGTCCTTTGGATACATAAAAATTTAAGCTAAATATTATAGACATTATATTATAATCAGATGAAAAAAATTAAATGATAGAAAAATCAGCTGAACTTCTAAATGCCAGTATTTAACACAAGATTTTGATTCAAAGTACAGATGCTTCTCAACTTCCCATCATAAATAACAACATAGCAGAAGGTCCCAGAGTTACAATGGTTCGATGTACAATTTTTTAGTTCTAAGATAAAAAACATATATTATATACATAAATATGTATTGAATAGAGAGAACTGTTATTTCTACTTGGCTAAAGAAGACTATATATATATATTTATATAAAAGTGCATTTTATTTTTAAGATATTATTAAATTACTAGACAATCTAAAAACAAATACTGTTTAATTATAGGAAAAGTGGTTCATAATTATGCTGGATGACAGAAACAAGTAATAGAAAACACCCCCCCACATACACACACAAACACAAAGCAGTAACCAAATATGGACGGTTACATGCAACAAATATGCACTATTTATATATGCAAAGTTCTAAATGCAAACCCAACTTGCTATGTCATTTTTTTCTAAGTTTCTTTCTAATACGAAGTATGTATGTATGTATGGCAAATGCAATACAAGTATATAAAGAATATATGTGTAAAATATCTCCCACATATAAAGTATATACATATAAAACATGCAATTGATATTTTTTCTTTAGTCTTCTTGAGAAAATGAGAAGAAATTTATGCAAACAAAATGGGAGCAACAAATCTCACTAGTCAAATCTGCCACACGTTCAGAAGCAAAAGGTGGGTTAGGAGCAAATCTGAATAATTCATGGGAGAAGATATGAGACATAATGTAGGAAATATAAATTGGGAATAAGAAATTTTGTATATAAATTTGCTTATTCATTTTTCCAAGGGCAAGATACAAAATTTTCAGGAGATTAAGGAGTTTCTTATTTTTAAGAAATGGGAAATCATAGATACATATGAATAAGAGGAGTACATTAGAAGAAGGACAAAGGGCAGAACAAATAAAAAATAGAAGAATAACATAATAAATGACAGATATAAAAAAGGAGGAACAAGCCGAATTCAGGGTAGAAGAAAAAAAGTGACCAGAGAAGGAAGGGAGATGACATAGCTGTTGGCACAATTCACAAAGGAACATTATATGCAATTCTAAAAGTTCTTTAAAAGATGCAATCACTAACAAAAAATCTTAACTATAAAATAGTTCATGAGGCAGTAAATGAAATAAGAATCTGACATTAGCATTTTCATCTTTGATAAAATTGAAAGAAAAACAAAAGCACCCTACTGTGACACAGTTTTTTAAAGGAGTAATATCTAATTATTAAGCTTTGGCAAAGGTAGCCTGTATGATGCTTCCTGTTATTCTTATCAATTGAAAAATCATTTTCTAGAAAGACAAAACAGGTTAGCTGCATATCTATCAAATTTTGTACTCACTAAATCAAAATAACATGAAACCGAATAGATTCTCTACCAACTGGTTTTGCAAACTAATCAGTATTATTAGAAGCCCTTCACAGTAAAAGTTGTACATAAATCCTAATCCAGCGTACAGTACACATATATTAACATTTTTAAGACTTATATGAAAAATGATTTTTTCATAGAAAATATGATTTAAAATCCTACTCAAAAGCAGCGTTAATTACCAATATAATTATCATTATTGCTAAAACACTTAGAAAAATAGCAACAAAGTTATTAAAGACATATTATAATACTGACTTTAATTTTAAATTACAATGTTTACAAATAATATGGAAAAGAAATACTGAAAATACTCTGTAGTTTTATTATTCTCAAAATCAAATTAAGTACTTAGAGCATTGAATGACTTTTTATATATGTAAATAATACATTAAACTGTGTAGCTTTTATCTTAGTATTTTCATTTGTAATCTTTTCAATATTAGCTCCATTACAGAAGGAAGAAAACAATAATACTATACAATCGAACAAGATGAATACTGTTGAATCATACATTTTGTAAAGTAATTGACAAAATATTACATATTAGACACTAAATGATTCAAGCTTTCTCTTTCCTCTCTCTGTCTAAAGACTTTAAACACGTATAAACCGAAAACATTATCATCTCATTAAAAACAAAACTCAAGTGAAACTTTCTTAGACATTTTGAAAATGTGATCAAATTATTAATTGTTTTAACTGTTGTTTTACTTTTGGGGGGAGTGTGTGTGTGAGTGTGTGTGTTTGTGTGTATGTGGGTGCGTGTGTTAAACGAGCAGAAAATAAGCTGTCTAAAGGACTGCCAGTAGTGGAAATCTGCCTGGGGAAGGAGGGGCATACCTCATCAACAAGGGTACCTGCCAAATGAATATTTGTATACCTAACCCTGAATTGTACCCCACAATTTTAAAATAAAAAATTTAAAAGTTAAAAAACATTAAAAATAAAATAATTTTTAAAAAGATAATTAAAAGGATTTTAAAAAATAGTTCCAATCTACACATGAGAGAAAATCAATTCTTAAAGAATAAATTATTCCATTAATATCTGTAGCACAAAAAATAATTTTTAAAAAGTTGTTATTGATTCCAATGCTGTCAGTTGTAAACATCATTTCAACGTTCTTTTAAAAAAGGCTTCTGATGGTCTTAAGATTTAAATGTGCTCACAGAGCTAGAAAAGCACAAATTTTCTTTGAATTTTACTACCGATATTTGGATGCTTTGTAACCTACCAGGAAAAACCAACATGAAATCACAAGACAAAAGTCACTTATAAACAACCCCAGAAATAGGACAAAGAATAATCATTAAGATGAAGTTCATAGTATTAATCTATTGTCTTAAAATATCAATAATACTGCATTTCTTTCCTGTTACCATTGATTACTACAAAAGGAATACTGATATTTGAATACCAGTTAGAGCCTCAAAGAGATTACCATTTTACCTAAGTAAAACATCATATGTAGAAAATATCTGTAAAATAATATACTATCCAGGTACACTTACATCTATCACTGAAACACAATCAGGAAAAAGTAGTTTGTTAATTAGAGAAGTACTACTATACTTACAGAGCAACAAAAGCTCAAGGGCACAAAGATAAATTTCTGTTCCCATTACTCTTACCTGTCCCAATTACCTCCAAGAGACAAAATGAACAACTAAATCTGTATCAAGTGAAACTTTAATTATATTAGAAATATTATAAATTGGTATCATAATGCCATTTAATACATTTGTACCGGTGTAATAAATACGAATTTGACTAGAGTAATACACAATTGAATAAAACATAAGGATTTAGGGAGGGGAAGGGTAAATTTTTAACCCTCACTAGTGAGGGGGAATTATATCTACAATCGTTTCTTGGATGTCTAAAATTGTACACTAGACAGAAACTGCATTGAGAATCAAATATAATACATTTATCATGGATCAAGAAGAATGACAGAATAGCATGAACTCAAGGAAATAAAGCCAGAAATTTTCATTCAGTTTACTTTAGAACAAGTCAGTTTAGAATCTAGAACTTACACTTCAATATTGTTATTTAAAATACATTATTTAGCCAATATGTATATTAATATTTGCAAGAATACATTTTATGACTTTTGCATCTCTGTTCATGAAGGATATTGATCTGTAGTCTTATTTTCTTTTTCATAGTTTTGGTATCAGCAATGCTGGTCTCATAAAATAAGGTGTGAAGGGTGTTCCTCCCCTCTTCAATTTTGAGAAGAGTCTGGGTATAACAAGCATTAGCTGGCAAAATTCACCAGTATGCCTTCTGAACTCGGGAGTTTTCTTTTTCTTTTTTCTTTTATTAATCAATATTTTTTATTATGGTTTTTTGGGGTACAGTTAAGGGTTAGGTGTACAATTACGTTTCATTCAGGCACCCTGTTGATAAGAGGTGTTTTCCCATCCCCAAACAGATATTTGCTACTGTTTATCCTATCCCCCTCACCACCCCCGTAGTTTCCCAGTACTGTCAGTCATTTTCTTATAGTATTACATTGGATGTTCAAGGTGCATTATATGAGTGAGAACATGTGATACTTAGATCTTTGTTTCCGTGAAAGGTCACTCAGTATTATAGACTCTAGTTCCATCCAGGTTGCTGCGAAATTCATGATTTTGTTCTTTTTT